ACACATAGAGAGGGCCCAGGCCCTGCTCCAAATGATGTGACAGGGGATGGGATAGGGGTTGCTGCTGGGACGGGGAGGAGGGGAGGGTGAGGGAATTTGGAATGACATGTAAAACAAGCTTGTTTCAAATTTAAATAAAAAAATTTCAAATAAAACAAAATCAAATCAGAATTCTTTTCTATGTATGTTTTTAATTTTTAAATTCTGTTTATCTGCTAGAAGTCTTCATCCCAATATGATATCTTCCCTCTGCATCAAAATCCCTGGAATGCATTCCCTAGATGATTACATAACCAGAGTGCAGTCAAGCTTTGGATACATGCGGTTCACAAGTGCTTCTAGTATTTTCTTTTCTACCTGTTTGAATTCCTTTTCAGCTTCCACTGATAATAATCTTGGACTATTTAAGTCCTTGTTCCCTTTTAGGGTCTTTTTCACATTTTTTAGATCATGTCTTTCTACTCCAATAATAGTCTGTAGCTGGGAAATCTCTCTTTGCAATATTTTAATATCATTGAGTCTGATGTCGATCTCTTCTGATCTGTACTTTTTGTGGTCTCACTTTCTGTAGACCTATATCATATCCTAAGTATTTAATAGACTCCCTCCTCTCTGTATTTTTGGGGGCAATTTGTAATCTCCAGCGAGGTAAAACGTTCTTCACTTCCTCAAACATTTTTTTTCTAACATCTCTGCCTTAGAATCAGCCAATGAACTATCATCCATGAACCTGTGTATAAATTATTTCCAATGGTTTTTGCACAAAATATTGGCACAGGGTAGGGCTATTTAACATTCCCAGTGGAAGGACATTGCATTGATATCTCTTGATAGGATGAGAATTATTTTAAGTAAGCACCATGGAGGCAAATTCTTTCCTATCTTTCTTGCAAAGGTATAATGAAGAAACAGCCTTTTGAGTCAATAACTATAATAGGCCATTATTTAGGTGTCATAGAAGGCAAGGGCTTCCCAGACTCTAGAGAGCCCACTGAATGAATTACTTTTTGGTGGCTCTCAAGTCTGTAAGCATTCTCCGTTTTCCGGATTTCTGTTTAATAACAAATACAGGAGAATTCCAAGGGCTGTAGATTCTTCAATATGCCCAGCATTCAGCTATTCCTGAACCAGCTGTTTTAGAAACTCTGGCCTCTCAGAAGTTGTAAGTCATTGCCCCACCCAGACAGGTCCATCAGTTAGCCACCTTAAGAGTAGGGCTTTTGGTTCCTTTGTGAGTTTGACACTGTTGTATTCTGTTTTTGTGTCACTTGTATTATTGGTGTCTGTTTTCTATAGTGTTTTTTTTTCATAAAAACGTTTGTTTATGGTTCATTTCTGATAATGGGGGAATGTTGAGCTGGGTATCCCATTACTGCAACAGCTCATGACTGCATAGATTTGCTGCTATATCAGCCACATATGGCCTCAGCCTTCCTTTCTGTCCTTCTGGCCCTATACATTCAACCCATCTTGTGCTCTGTTTTACCTGAGATAGAGTTCCAATCCCTAAGAACTGAACATCTACCTCCTGAAAAGGCCAACTTGAATGCCAAGATTCTGAAGGTATAATGATAACATCCACATCTGTGTCCAGCAATCCTCCAGTATAGTGCTATTTACCTGTACCCTTAGTTTTGGTCTTTGGTCATTTATGGAAGTCTGCCAAAATTGTTGTTTGTTTGTTTGTTTGTTTGTTTCCTTTGTGGAGTTTTGATTCACCCTCCAAATATATTCTACCATCCAGAGCAGTGTGATTTTTTTTTACAATAGGTACTGAATTTCCTAATTGTTCTTGGAAGTATTGTCTTCCACAGTGACTGGGAATGACTGGACCACATTGGACATGGAGGCCTTCCAGAGGCCCCTCAAGGAGTTTCCTGATGGTGAAGTGTTGCCTTGTTTGTCTCTTGTTGATCTATATTCACTGGTCAATGTCAGCCTTTGCCACATCTACATAATCCTGAAGATTGGGGCCTTCTATTTGGGTTACTCCTAGAAGAAGCATTATTTCTAGGAATGCCTTGTCTACAATTTCTTTTCAGATGGCCTATTCTACTACAATTAAAACATTTGGTATTTTGATGTTTCCTCATACCTTTGGAGGTTGCTTCTCCTATCCAAACATCAGTGTTATAGTCAAAAGATTCAACATTGGCTGTGTGCAGGATCCATTTATCCATTGGTCCTGATCTTATTGTTAAGGTCCCAAGCAATTTTTACATTCTAAATTAGCATTATCAAAAGCCAGAGATTAAATGAGTACTCATTTAGCTTCTGTATCTGCTATCCCTATTTGTATGGCTTTGGTCAGTCTTTGCAAAAAAGTCCCTAACGGGTTATTTTGAGCCTTGTATAACCTTAGTATATGACCCAATTCTTTTCCCTTATTATTGAATCTTGTCCCAAACATTCAAGGGTGCTGTATGGCATAGGGACAAGATGTGTTCAATGTATGTAGCCTGAGAATCTGTATCAACATAAAGACCCTCATCAATAATTTGTTCTTGGGAAGCCACATAACCTTTGATTCTGCCTTGATGTTCAAAGGCTTTGGCATCTTCCCTCCAATATGACTTCCACTGCAGCTGTGTCCCAAGTTCTAGAATAGCTGAGACTAATTGAAGCCAGCCTTTTGGAGTTATTCTGTTTCTTGTAGCCCATGCCTTTACTAACTACCTCATATTTGGTAAATGCATGCCATAAGAAACCACTGCTTCCTTACTATCTTTTGAATCTTTCATATGTATCAGCTCCTATTTACATTCAGAAATAGCCTTCTGGGTGTTCAATATTTGCTGGTTTTTCAGAAATAGTAGCAGGATAGATCATAGCAGGTGATGATGATGATGATGATACAACCTTTGGTAAGTCACCTCTGACTCTGAAAGGTCCAGGTGATGTTAAATATTTTTTTCTCTTTTGTTGGTATCTTAACTCCTAGTGTATCCGTTTTAAGAGCGCCTTCTATGGCCTGTAATCTATTCATTATTGTTTCTCAGAGTCTTTGAACTCCCTGGACAGCAAAAGCTTCCAATGATTTCATTAAATCAGTCAGTTTCTTGTTCTCCTCATTCACATATGATTCTAGAGATTTAATATTCCCATCTTTAGAGATTATTTGGATGGCATATAGATTGCCTTCCAAAAACAATGTTCTATCTGAAAGCTTGTCATTAATCTTAGTCGTATACCTCTTCTAAAATTCCATACATTGCAGAAATTGGCATGGAGCAGTTAATTCTATCTATCTATCATTCGTCCGTCCGTCCGTCCGTCCGTCCGTCCATCCATCCATCCATCCATCCATCCATCCATCCATCCATCCATCCATCCATCCATCCATCCATCCATCCATCCATCCATCCATCCATCCATCCATCCATCCATCTATTTAGCTTAAATTGCAACATATAGAGTAATGTACTTCAAGTAAAATCCCAGAAGATTGAAGTCTAGGTGCTTGGTGGTTTCCTCGTTGACCTTAAGTTGCAATAACTATGTTTGGCCAGCAGGTGTCAGAGGTATACCACCAAAGCAAACCAAGGGGTAAAGATGTTAAACTATGATTTGTTCCTAATATATTACAATGATTTCTAAACAACACACAACAAACCCAAACTGAATGAATTTTTGTTAGAGAGAAAGGAAATGAAGCAAACTGCAGGCGCAGCAGGTGCTGACGGGCCAGTAGAGCTGGGCAGCTGTACTGGGTTGAAGCTTCAGCTATGGAGGGGTGTGTCTAGTGGTGGGTCCCTGAAAACTGAGAGATGGCTTTAGACAGGTCACTGTGCTGGGCACTGCGCAAAAGAGGCATGTGGATACGGAAGAAAAGCCTTTGGCAGCTCTGGGAAATGGGGGGGGGGCGCAATGGGCCACGCAGGCGGGTTGCCAGGAGCCAACTCCTACGCTTCCTTAGGAGGAGTCCTATCTGCACACCTGAAGCCATGCCCCTGGGATGCAACCACCACCACTGCCGAACAAGATGCCACTACACACTTCCTGTTGCCTGCATATCAAAATATAGCAGCTCCTCCAGTACCATGTCTTTCTGCATGCCACCATATCACTGAAACTCTGAAAACGTAAGCCCCACCCACCAATTAAATGTTTTCCTTTATAAGAGTTGCCTTGGTTGTGTCTCTTCACAACAATAGAAACTCTAAGATACTCGGTATACTCTTTTGTCTAATCAGCCCCACCCACAAATGTTCATGGAAATGAGTCATTGGTCTTGTTCAAGGCCTCTGGGACACCATCGTCACTGACCCTCACCAAAACTCTTGGTTATCCTGCTGTTGCCTCAAGCCACGGAGATCCTGCAGCTATGGTCCTATAGGACCAGTCCCTTCACATGCTCCAACGGGTCATAGAAGAAGTAGGTGTTAGGGTGTGCTAACCCAAAGCCCAGGATGTGGACCTGGATGGTAGCTGAGCTTGTCATTCTGGGATGCTGGGACCGCCCCATCAGGCCAAGGGCACTCATATGCCTCTGCCATGGTCTCAGGTGACTGACCAGACCCTGAGCATTTACACAGCCCTCAGTGGAACAGGAGCCACGGACATTGATGCAGACCCCAGCTATCATAGGGACATGGCCCACCACAGTTCACTTCCAAAGTTTAAGATCTACTGGCTTCCAGTGACCCTTTTACACAAACAAATACTAAACAAAATATTTACTCCCATGAAGCAGAAAAATGAAAACCACTTTACGCTGGATTCCGGGAAATTATATATTCTATAAAGGACTGCATGAAATAGTAAGTTAACTCAACTGTTTTCAGAGAATTTGAAGATCAATGTTCACAGCTGATAGGGGGCAGTGCACTGACAAAATTTCTCACAAAGTAGATCTTTAACAGATTCAGTTACTTAAAGCAAATCATCAGACTATTCCTATTGGTCCCTGTCTAACCCTGACTCAGAAGAGGAGCACAGGAAGAAGAGCACAGGATTAACCTTTTTAGTGTGTCTTAGTGAAAAAGAACTTTTTATTGCCTCCCACTGGAGATACAGATTCAGCCTAGATGGCCTTTCAGGACCTTTTTATTCACATTGGCAGCCTGGGGAGGTTCCAGTTACTTCAGATGGCTTTCCTCCTGATCTGCAATGGCTTGGTGGTTCCTCACACTCTTTTGGAGAACTTCACTGCAGCCATACCCAGTCATCGCTGCTGGGTCCCCATCCTTGACAATGACACTGTCTCTGACAATGACAGCGGAATCCTGAGCCAAGATGACCTCCTGAGGATCTCCATCCCATTGGACTCCAACCTGAGGCCAGACAAGTGCCGTCGCTTTGTCCAGCCACAGTGGCATCTCCTTCATCTGAATGGCACCTTCTCTAATGTGACAGAGGCAGACACAGAGCCCTGTGTGGACGGCTGGGTGTACGACAGAAGCACCTTCCTCTCCACCACTGTGTCCAAGGTCAGTCAGTTCAAGAGTTCATGATGGTGCTTTACTGGTAGCCTAAATAGTGCACATGTTTTGAGACTAGCCTTTGCTTTTAACTACTGTGATGATCTCTGTATTTATTGTAAGGCACATATTTAATGCATCTAGTGATCGCTTTGAAAATGTTAAGAATTTATTCTCCTTGTCCTTTCATTATAGGGATGATCATTGCTTAAGAAGTAATTTTTGTGCCAAGTCAGTGTAAGCGAATGATTCATGTGGAACCTCAAAACATGACAAGTCAGTATAATTTAGCTTTAATTTCAAACTTAAGATATTTGGAAGACTATGCAAAAATACAGTGGTTGGCTAGGGATGTGTCTCGGTGCTGTAACAATTGTGTAGCGCATGTGAAGTCAAGGATTCAAACTCTAACACTAACCCCCCCAGAAAGTTACCTTCCTTTATGACTTTAATGTGGCTAATGGCTAGCACACTTTCCAAATGTTAAAAGCCCTACAGTTCATCACTATCAAAATAATAGATAGATAGATATAGACTAGATGATAGATAGATAGAATCAGTGCCTAGTCTCCACACTTGAAGTAGTCATTTGGGAGATTGTGCAACAACAAACAAGATCCAACAAACTCTTCAATGGTCTCAAATACTTACATTATTGGGACACATTTGAAAACTTCTATTTTGGGGGTTGGGGACTTTGACACATTGTTTCTCTGTATAACCCTGGCTGTTCTGGAACTTGCTCTGTAGACCAAGCTGGCATCAAACTTAGATATCTGCCTGCCAAGTGCTGGAATTAAAGGTATGTTCCACCATTGCATAGATATTTGAGAACTTCTTAGCACAATTTACAAGTCATCACTATAACCTTCAGAATTACAGGAGATTCCCAGAAACAGGTTTGTTTAAGCTGAGACTTACTGGTAGATGTCAGGTGGCGATGAAAATGGCAAGTGTAGAGGAATACGGGGCTGGTACAGTATAATTGGAAGCTCATGTTGAAGAAATTTGAACAACTTACACTGACAGGCTGTCATGTTGCTTTTCTTCTCTTTCAGTGGGACCTGGTATGTGGATCTCAGGCACTGAATTCAGTGGCTAAATTTATATTCATGTCTGGCATGTTTTTAGGACATATTGTAGGTGGCCATTTATCAGACAGGTGAGTGACTGTGCTTTAAAACTCTCTCTATGTATTTTTATCATCTGTGAGTCATTTATTCATTCATTAAGAAATAATCATTGCAGATTTTATTTCTCTATATGTATCTTTGAGCCTGGAGATCATTGAACACAAATGGAAATGTTAAGTGTTTAAAAGTCCGTGTATTGTGTGAACACCGAAGTAGCTATTCAACATATGGTTTAGAGAAGAGGTGAAACCACATGATTTAGAAAGATACGAAGGTAACTATGGTAATGAGACAAATATGTTTCACCATATAGAATTTACCTATTTGAATATTGTAATAAAATATTTAGTAGAAAACACCATTGTCACTCTTAGCCTGGGTTACTAGCCATGCTTCTCAGACATTGCCCTAAACAATCATGGTGACAAGAACAGAAACTATGCCATAATTGCTCAAGCATGACAGTCGAATGTTCTTTGATTCCTGGGGCATCCAGTAAAAGGTGCAACTGACTGACGTGCTGGGAAGCTATGCCTGTTGTTTTTATTTTCACTTCTGCCAAAGGGGATTTCTTTTTTTTTTTTAATTGAAAAGAAATTTTTCATACAATATATTTTTATCATGTTTGCCCCCCTTCCCCATTCCTTCAAGATTTTCCTTACCCATCCAACTTTAGGTTATTTTTTTCTCTCTCATTTTAAAACAAACAAGAATTCAAAAAAAAAAAAAAAAAAAAAAAAAGAAAGAAAGAAAGAAAGGAAGGAAGGAAGGAAGGAAGAAAAACAAACAAACAAACAAAAAGCACAAAAGCAGAAATCAAAATAAGCAAAAGACCAATGAGACAAAAAAATGTCTAAAGAAATTAAAATGAGATCAAAAGTCAACAAAGATACTATTGAGTTTATTTGTGATGGCCAACTACTCCTGGGCCTGGGACCTACCCTGAAGTGTGTCTGAAATACTCAATGAGACCCCATTGGCAAAAAACTTAAGTTTCCTATCCTGGTGAGTATAAATTTCAGATAGCTTCTTGATTAGGGTTGGGGCCTCGCCCCCTCCCTCTCAGGGCTAGGACCTTGTCTGGCTTGAGTGCATAGACACAGTCTTGGTGAGTTCATATGTGCATCGATCCTTGTGTGTCTGGGGAGACTTTTCTTAGAGACACCCTCCCTCTGGACCTTACAGTCTCTCCACCTCTTCCACATAGTTCCCTGATCCCTGAGAGTAAGAGATGGAAACGGCCCAGGTAGAACCAATTGTCCCAAAGTCTCTCACTCGCTGCCCATTGTCCAGTTGTGGGTCTCTGTGTTAATTCCTGTCTCTTGCAAGAAGTAGCTTCTATGCTGATAACTGAGCTAGGTACTGACTTATGGGCTTAGCAGTATGTCAGTAGGCAACATCATATTGCTATGTTCCTTTAGCAGAAAAATAGTAGTTTTTCCCTATTCCCATGACCTAACTAGTCTGAGGTTCTTGGCCACTTAGTATTGCGGTTAAATAAGGATCAGGATAAACAAATAGGCCAAATAGATGTTTATTCAGGGAGAAATAACTTACAACCTAGACAGATGAACACCAGGAAATTCCACCCGATGCTCTCCTGTCCGAGTCACGCCAGCAAGAGAGCTCCCCCCCCCTCTTTCTCTGACCTCCCTCCACAGGTCACTTCCACCCATGGCTCCACCCCCAATGGGCATGGTCAGTGCCACAGAAGGACTATCTCACTACAATTCCCCTTTTAGTCTAAAGAAAAGATTTAGGCTTAATACAAAACTATATACAAAACAGTGAATAACAAGTGTGCTCTAAGAAAAGGAAATTCGAGAACAAAATGACCTACATATCTAGTCCTAGGGTGAAGGCATAAAGGAATTTATAATAGAGTTGTCCTAAGCTGGAAAACGTAAATCTAGTACCTAATATATCTAACTAGGAAGAGAGAATAATAGTTGTGATAGTTTAATCTTCAACCTCATCAAGACCTGAGAAGAAAAATAACGATACTAGAGTAGACAGGAAGTGCGGATGGACAACTTCCAAAAGGTGCAGTGAGGACAGAAACAGCAAGCCACCTGGACAGTCACCCTAAGTCTCACAGCAACGTTGGTACACCCAGTTTTGGCTAAGGCCAAGAGAACTTGACAGACCACAACAGCAGGGAGGTAGAATGGCTGTCTTACCCTGACTTGGCAAGGTCCAGCAGTCTTCTATATTTGTCTCCTGCAAGCACATAGGACTATATTTGTCTCCTGCAAGCACAAAGGACTGCATGTCCAAATCAGTGGTCAAGGTGGGGGCAATTCTTTGCCCAACAGGCCATTAGCTGAGGCGAGAATGAACTCCAGCAGGAGCAACAACAGTGTCCAACATATTTTCAGGAAGTGCACGGTGCTGTCAGGAGCAACAGTATCTCATGTCAACGGAGTACTAATATTAAAACATTTAAATGCCATGTTCTGCATGTCTATGAAGTGACTGAAGATTAAGCATCTATATCTGACTAATCTCATAGGTACAGGAAACATGAGTGACTATAATCTGTAATACTCAGGAACTTAGCTAAAAAACTGATTAAAACTTCCCTGAGTAAAGCAGGAACAAATACTTAAACAATATAACTATATACATATACATACATATAAATCTCTAAAATAGAGGTAGAGTAGAAATGTCAAGACAAGAGGTAGAACTATAAAGGGCAGCATGATAAATATCCCAAATTGTATCAATATACAAAATGTCTTGAATACAAGAAAAGTATACATACATAGAATATGGTAAAGAATAATGTGCATAAAACATTGTAAGTGGAAAGATTTCACACAATATAACAAAATATAAACTTAATTTTACATAGCTTACCACATATAAGAATACATAACAATGTAAGCTATAAAATACTATATCATTCTTACTCAAATTCACAAGAAAATAGGCTAATCTACCTATATCCCATCTAAACCATACCTTTCCCAACCATTTCCTATTACTGTCTAAAAGATAAACCCGAGTGTAAGCATCACCTTCCATACCCAACCCTAAATAACTAAAACCAACCCAAAGACGATGACTATTATCCCAAAATTACAAGGGTAGGGAAAGGGGGCGTCTCTTCACCAGTTGAGAATTATTGTAATTAGGTACCGTGAAGGCAAATTTCTCTTTATCTTGTTCTTTTAAAGGTATAGTGAAGAAGCAATCCTTTAAATCAATAACTATAATAGGCCATTCTTTGGGTATCAAAGAAGGCAAGGGCATTCCAGGCTGTAAAGAGCCCATTGGCTGGATAACTTTATTGATGGCTCTCAGGTCTGTAAGCATTTTCCATTTACCAGATTTCTTTTTGATCACAAATACAGGAGAATTCCAAGGGTTGGTTGACTCCTCGATATGTCTAGCATTTAGCTGTTCCTGAACCAGGCTTTCTAAAGCTTATAACTTTTCAGAGGTCATAGGCCATTGTCCTACCCAGACAGTTTCCTCTGTTAGCCATTTTAAAGGTAGGGCTTTTGGTTCCTCTGTTTGTTCAGCACGTGTATTCTGTTTTTGTACAGCCTGGATATTTGGTATCTGTCTTGTATAGTACTTTATAATATTTTTTCCACAATCATGAGGTTGTTTATGGTTCCTATCTAATAATGGAGGAATGTTAATCTGTATAATTCCATTGCTGTAATAGATCACGACCCCATAAATTTATCAATACATCAGCCACATATGATCTCAACCTTCCTCTCTGTCCTCCTGGCCCTATACATTCAATCCATCTCATGCTTTGTTTTACCTGAGACAGGGTTCCAATACCTAAGAATTGACCATTTACCTTATGCAGGGGCCATCCAATCAGAGAGTAGTTGATTACTCCCTTAACATTTATGTTTTTGTTGCACCAGTACATCTTGCGGGCAGGTCATTGTCACAGATTACAGGATTTGTAGCTGGGAGCTATTGATGATTGCCTTTCTCTTTGGGTGATAGTCAGAGAACCGTCTAGTACTGTGAACTAGTAGGGGTGAGCCTACTAGTTAGGCACCACTTAGACTTTTCCATCTTCAGTGATATATGTAAGTGAAGCCTTAAAAAATAAATAGGGTCTTGCCATCAGGTTGTGGTGAGTAACCAGTAACCTTGGCAATAGTCTGAAGTCTAAGGGTTTCCATGGGATCCCTTTGCCTATAACTCTACAAAATGTAACCTCTTCTTGGCATTAGAAGTGTTCCTTGGTAGCGTAAGATGTCTAGTTGGGACATTGTCTCCATTTAGACTGTGTGTGTGTGTGTGTGTGTGTGTGTGTGTGTGTGTGTGTGTGTGTGTGTGTGTGTTTTAGGGAGCCTTTATGGTAGTAGAATTCCATATGGTTTTTCAAATGCCCCTTAATGTTGGTTGTCTTTTCCTGTATCCCTCCTTTGCCTTTCTCTCTCATCACCTTCTTTACTTTATCCTCCTATTATAGTTTTCCTTTTGTCTCTCCATAACAATATATCCCATTTTCCCTTTCTTCAGAGATCTTCTCTTCCTCCCTACTCACTATATACTCTGTAGTTATGAGATTATCATACACATGAAAAAGCTTGAAAGCTAACATCCACATTGTAGTTTGAATAAGAATGGCCTCTGTAGGATCATAAGTGGCACTATAAGGAGGTGTTCCCTTGTTAGAGTATGAGTAGCCTTGTTGGAGGCTTGAGTTTTGAGGTTTCAAATGTTTAAGTTAGGACCAGGTTGCCTTCCAATCAAGATGTTAAACTTTCAACTATCTCTCCAGCATAATATCTGCCTGCATGCCACCATGCTTCCTACCATGATGATAATGGACCAAACCTTTGAACCTGTAAGCAAGCCCCAGTTAATGTTTTCCTTTATAAGAGTTGCTGTTGTCATGGCATCTATTCACAACAGTAGAATATTAACTAAGACACACACATAAAAGAAAACATACACTATTTGTCTATTTGGGTCTTGGTTACTTCACTCAGGATTTTATTTTCTAGCTCCATCCATTTACCTTGAATTTTATAATTTAATGAAA